TGCACACAAGAAGAACCATTAAATCAGTGACCTGTGTGTGTGTCTGTGTGTCTATGGCAGGGGTAGGCAACCTAAGGACCGGGGGCCGGATGCGGCCCTCCGAGGCCTTTGGACCGGCCCCTGGCCAGTCCTGCCTCCACCGCCCGCCGCTGTCTGCTGCTGCCTGCCATTATGATATTGATTATTGTTGTTATTACTTGTTCTTGGGGTTTTCTTGGCAAAATCTCCACGGGGGTTTTGCCATGGCTTTTCTGGGACTGAGAGAATGTGCATGCATATATTTTTTAAATTTTTTATTTATTTATTCATTTTATTATTTATTTATTCATTTATTTTTGGTGCTTCGGTCCCCCAGTTGTCTGAGGGACAGCAACCCGGCCCCCGGCTCAAAAAGGTTGCCTACCCCTGGTCTATGGCTTCTTAGTGGAGGGCTGTCTGCTTTTTAGCATGATAAAGTAATCTTCAGTTATCACCAGCATACCCTCCAACTGTCCCAGTTTGGCAGGACAGTTGCAATTAATCCTCTGTCTTCCCATTTTTCAGCTCCACTTAGAATGTCCCAGTTTCTTTTTCCTCCTCCTACTTCCATGCTTCATCCTTAGCTTATTTCTTTCACTACAAATTGAATCCAAAGTACAAAAGTAGTTTGCTCTTCATTCTCAGAGAAAGGCCCTTCATAGTACCTTCATACAAAAACAAACAGCTACAGCTTCTCCTTGATCATATGTTCTTCCTCATTAATATTTTTTGCTACCTTGATCACACTCTGATGTTGCTCAGCCACATAAGTTCCAGCTTTCATCTATGAAATGACAGAGGTTATGCACCAGGTGCTTCATATCAAGAAACAAACAAGCTTAAGGCAGACCACCCCATTGTACGTTGCCAGGAGCTCAGATGTAACATTTCATATAGAAGCAAGTTTGATGGTGCCTGTGCTTTCCTAGAGCCATAGGATTGTAGGGTTGGAAATGATCCCAAAGATTTTCTCATGCAGCCCCTAGCAATACAGCTGAAGCAATCCCACATATCACCATCCAACTTTTGCTCAAAAAATATGAGGTCCTCCACTTGCTGGGGTAGCTTATACCATTACAGAATAGCTCATACTGTCAGGAGGTTCTTTCCTAAACTTTAACTGGAATTTCCTTTCCTGTAATTTGAACCCACTAGCACAAGCCATGATTCAGAGCACCTAAAAACAAGCTCAATCTGTTGTCCACATGACAGCCTTATTTGAAGACAGTTATTGTGTCACAAGATTCTGTCTGATCTTGGAAACTAAGCAAGGTCAGCACTGCTTAGTACTTGGATGGGAAACCACCAACAAATACAGTAGGCCCTTGGTATCTGCTGGGGTTTGGTTCCAGCACCTCTCATGGATCCATGGATGCTCAAGTCCAATCATATTTAATGGCACAATAAAATGGTGCCCATTATATAAAATAGCAAAATCAAGGTTTGATTTTTGGATGGGGGGGGGGGAGATTTTCAAGCCATGGATGGTTCTCTGGATGCAGAATCCATGGATATGGAGGGCCAACTATATTAACTGCTGTAGGCTATATTTCAGAAGAAGGAACTTGCCTAAGAAAACCCTCCGAAATTCACAGAGATTCAGGCAACTTGAAGGCATGTACACATACATTGTATCACCATACGCTAACCTTACCTAGCTCCCTATGTCCTTCCTCACGGATTGTGATTTCTAGAGCCAGTAACATATTAGAGCCTTTGCAGACTGCCAGAAATAGTGCAAACTGAGTCCATTTTAACTCTCCTGACTCAGTGCTAGGGAATCATGGGAACTGTAGTTTATTGTGACACCAGAGCTCTCTGACAGAGAAGGCTCAGTCTCAGAAAAAACTACAGTTCCCATGATTCCCTAGCACTGAGCCAGGGCAGTTAAAGTGGACTCAATTTGCACTATTTCTAGCAGTCTGCAAAGGCCTGTTGCCTTCCTCTGAACTCATTTTCGCTTTTCCTCAAAGCATACACACTTTTCATAGAGCTGGACAAGTTTGGAGGGTCTGGATACCAACTCTCCTCAGACCCTCTGTAGGTCACACCACCCTTCTCAAGGGAACTGGGAATGGCAGCATTTACTTCAGATTTAATTCTCTTCCCTGGCACACTTTTATACTGAAAAATTACAAGGTTTGATATGTGGTAAAGGAATCTCCAATTAAGTAAATCATACTTTCTGGAGAGGTCTAAGAACACAATCCTTCTTGTTAAAACGTTCTTCTTTGAACCACAACAAGGAGTGATGAGGCCACCAGCCTGCTGGTCAAATGTTACTCCTTGCTTTATGAGGAGGATAAGGCTATCAGAAGCCACTAATGATGGTCTCTATATATCACCCCCAGTGCTGCAGGAACTATGTCTCTCAATATTTGCTGCTGAGGAACACAGCTGGGGGTGTTGTTGCACCTGTGTCTTTCCGGAGAGCTTCCCACATAAAATTAGTTCACCCTTAGTGAGCAAAACTCTAGACTGCTATGCCTTACATCTGAAAATATACAATTCTTTTTATACTCATATACATTTTCTGTTGTCCCTTAAGGAAAACCACCACCACATACAATTGTTCAGGTAATTTGTGTGATTCAGGTTGATTTGACAAGGGGAAAAAATGGCTTTACCTTACCCAAAAGACCAAACATGAAAAATCCCCATGTTATGGGGAAATGTATGCATATATATTTATTCAGATAAAGATAATATTTGTTGTTTTTATTTGCTGTCAAGTCAACTTCAACTTGTGGTGACCCTATGAATAAGAAGCTTCCAAGAGCCTTAATCATCAACAACCTTGCTGAGGTCCCACATTCTCAAGCCTGTGGCTTCTTTGGTTGAATCAGTCTGTCTGCATGTGAACAATTTTCCCAGCATTATCATCTTTTCCAAGGACTCATTGTCTCATAACATGTCCCGTTACAGTATACTAGGGGTAGGCAACCTTTCCCCTTTAAGGGCCGAGGGTCTTCAGCTCCCAGAATCCCAGGAGCTATTGGCCAACATGGGACTATAGGCCAACATGGCTGAGGCTTCTGGGAGCTGAAGTCCCTCGGCCCTTAAAAGTGAAAGGTTGCCTACCCCTGCAGTATACTTTCAGCTGCTATTGTGTGTCTTCACAGAATCATAGAATCATAGCGTTGGAAGAGATCACAAGGGCCATCCATTCCAAACCATGCCATGCACAATCAAAACAAATCACAGGATTTACTTGTCAAGATTTATTGAGAGGGAGTTTGATTTATTGAGAGGGGTTTCCATGGCCGAGCGGGGATTTATACCTTGGTCTCCTATAGTCTCAGCCCAACACTCACACCACCACACCACACTGGTTCTCTTGCTTTCAGTATATGTAACCAAATGAAAAAATTAAGCCAGAATGTTTGTTGGTCGTTGGAGATCAGTAAAGAACCATGATGAATCTGATAGTATGACAAAGCCATATGCAACAATGAGGAGCTATCAATAGTCCAAATGTGTTCCAACCTCAAAAGATGTTCAGCAGGAAAATATACATCAATTTGAAAAAGAAGAGGCCACACTAACAGTCTTTTGTAAGCCTGCAACCAGTACTTTAATTTTCTTGTATCATCTGTAGTACTTAAATCAGGATATGGCTTGCTATTAAGGAGGAACCACACTTTATGCAAGAGTGCTCTCTTCCTCCCCCATAATGGAGATATGTCCTTGACACTTTCCTTGGTTAAATAGAAGTCAGACCTCCTATAGTATGGAAAGTATATAAGTACCAAATAATTTTGAAAAATAATGTAATGTTCCTCCACTACCAACTTCATAGCAACCTTTAGCCCACCAGGGAATTAACTGAGATCATGATAATCATTGCAGATTATGATGAAGTATTCTAACACCTCCTGGAAGATCCCTGGTAGGATGCCAAGAAAGTTCAACCTTTTATCTCTAAGGTAGAGGTGGAGGAGCTGGTAACCTCAGGAACCTTTATGTGGACCTCAAATCCCTACTGGATTTCCCCTCTCATTGCTTCCTCCCATGAGAAAATCTCTCATGACAGTAAAAAAGTAGCCTGTCTCCTTGGATTTTACCAGTTTTTCCAAGATGGCTTGGACAATTTCAAACAGGAATTTGACGAGACAATTTGTCCAACTTGCATTAAGCTAGATATGATGCTTGTAACTTGGGCATGCAAACTTTCTAAATAAATGGGTGACTAAGCAGTTTACTGAGGGTGAAGATTTGAGTGAAACTGGCACTGTGGCATGAACACTGGGGACTTGAATCCCAGCTCACCAACTAATCAGTGAGAAAGGTCCCATAGATACCAAATGGATTGTGGTTGTGGTTGTTTCTCAGTCTACCAGGTGTAGACTGCATTTTGGACCGCTAGCAATTCCAATTCTAGGAATCTAGGAATCTGTGGGATATCACTGGATAAATGTCCTTTTTCCAAGAAGTGTTGCTTTTTATAACTGTACAGCTGTGATCCTATTGATGGAAATTTCATTCAGATGTTTTGTTGGTGCATTTGTTCCCAGGATAAGACTTTTATTTATTTATTTATTTATTTATTTATTTATTTATTCATTAATTTAACTTTATTCATAAACCACCTTTTATTCAGGGAGACTCCCACCCACTGGGCGCATTCAATCATGTGAGCATCATTCTGACTGGGTCTGACTGGAAGGTGAAAAGGGTGAAAGGTCCTCTCTCCTTTCCCCATATTACAGTGCCAACTTAGAGACGGGGGGGGGGGGGGGGGGGGGGGGGGGAACCTTTCCTAGACCACTTACAAGCAAGAGTGGGACATTCTGCGCATTGGTGCATGCTTGGGAGCAGACAGTCTCCTTTGTTCTTGTTATATACCTGCAGATCAACACCTACTTATGGCGCAACCCTATCTTGGGATTTTCTTGGAAAGATTTCGCCAGAGGAGGTTTGTCTTTATCCTCCTCTTAGGCTAAGACAGTCTGATTTGCTCAGGATCATCCAGTAGGTTTCTGTGGCAAAGACATGATTTGAACCCTGGTCTTTTGGAGTGAGAGTCCAACATGCAAACCACTACACCACACTGGCTCTTCCTATAGCACCTTCCCGTCTGCCATGGCCTCTGATGGAGAGAACAGCAGACAGGCACAGCTCCATCATATCTTGGTCCCAGTGTCTGGTGGAGAAGTCCTCTCTTTGTTCCAGTTGCCACTGTTGTGGCCTCTGAGATACAGGAGAGCAGCCAGCATCTGCTGGACATATTCCACTTCCACACTACTATCTCATTTTCCTTGTGTCATATCTTCTTAGAATATAAACCTTAGGGTGGAGAGCTTACAATTTGTAAGCCATTCTGGGATTGTTTTTGGCTGAATTGGTGTTATAAATGCTCTAATTCATTATTTATTTAATTTAAATAAAACATACTGGACTAAAGAATACCTTAAATACATTAAAGGCTCCAGATCCCATATAATCTTGGAAGCTAAGCAGGGTCAGACCTGGTTAGTACTTGGACAGGAGACCACCATGGAATACCAGGTGCTGTAGGCCATATTTCAGAGGATGGAACTGGCAAAACCACCTCTGAGTATTCTTTGCCTAAGAACATGCTATGAAATTCATAGAATCATAGAATCATAGAGTTGGAAGAGACCACAAG